CCATTAGTAAATTAGGGCACCATTCTCCCAACCTTAATCTGTTTTATCTATTCGGAGTGTAAACTCTTTGAGGCAGGATCCATCTCTTCCTATGTGTCTGTGCAACACCTAGCACAATAGTGCCTTAATTTTGGTCGGTGGCCTCTGAGAGTTGTTGTAACACAGACAACAGTGCTGACTTGAGAGGCAGACAGTAGATGAAAGAAGAGGTAAGAGCTGTTGCAAACATGTTCCTTCTCAGAACATTCATTTTATTTATGCTCTACCTGATCACTAAGCAGTATTATGGGTGCGGCTACATCCTTTGATTGAAAAACAAACAAACAAACCAATCTCGGATTACACAGTGGGGATGAGCGAAATAAACCGTTTTCATTCACTTTAAATGAGGCTGATCCTCAGCTTGTACACATAAAGAGAGCCATCAGAAGTCGTATTCCACACTGCCGGTTTCGACACTGCCACTGGTGCTCACTCTTCCTTTATATAAATATATGATGTGGGTTTCAGAGAGCTCCTCTAACCCAGCAGACAACCTAAGAAACGGTATTAGCATTGATGTTGCCTCATACATTCATATTAGTGTCGCTATAGAGAACAGTGAAAAGTGAGCTAGGAGAGGAGCTTACATAAGTCATGTCAAGCTGTGCTGCAGATGAGTTATGACCCTCAGCCTCACTTGTGGACAGTTATGATTTATGCACTGCAGACTGTCTCACTCCCCACCATTATGTATATTCTCTCGTCATGTATGTACAGCCATGTGTGAGATCTACTACGGACACATACATGTGTGTAATGTACCCTATACAGTGAATAGTATGTTCCAGTTGTTACCACATAATTAGCTATTATTAAGCTCCTTGCACTTACTTTCAAGGCTCCTCGCCTCTCTGCCCTGCTCTACTTGTCCGCTCTTGTTGCTCCCAGCCTCTTCCACTCGGCCAACAATGCCGACCGTATCCATCTGTTTGCCAGCTTCTCCTGAAGACATCTCTGCGCTTTCTTCCACCATGCCGTTCCACCCAGAGTCCCTGCACTGATCTGTAAGGCCATATCCTCCTTCAGATCCTTCCCTGAGACACAACAAGGCCACAAAACCTGGAGTCATCAGCCAAGTAATGAGGCTGGGTTCTATGTTTATATATTTAAATGGCCTGGGCATGTATATAAACGGCCCATATCTACTGTATCCCTCCACCTTCTTGCCCAAGACCTTGTCTGTCATAGCCCTTTCTCTGCCACACTGGGGATGCTTAGATTGTGACTCAGGCTGTAGTGAGAAGAGCAGTGGCTACTTGTCCAATACTGGTGCTATAGAGTAAGTGCTCAATGCTCCCTACTGTGAGTGGGTAAGGAGGAGGTGGAGAGGGGCAAGGAGTGGGAGGAGCCCTGGCTGATGACTAGTGCTGGAGAGAGAAGCCAGGCGACTCTCCCATCTGGCAAGAGGTTTCTGCTGAGAAATCTCTAGGCCCAGAAGTCTCTATGAGCATAAAGACTTCAGCACAATAAAAAGTCCCAAAGGATAATAAAAGAAACAGGCTCAGATGCTCTCCTGCACTGAGCCCCAGAGCTACACTGCTGATCTCGTGAGCACTGCAGTTCATAGCAGGGGCTGCTCTAAATTTTGGCAGCTGGGTTTGGGCCCATATGCCACCTGAGCATAGCTGGAGCATACCACACTCTGGCCACACCTCCTCCCTGCACCAGGACTGAGTGCGGCAGTTGGTGCAGGGCTGAGTAGGTCAGTTCTATGTCACCTGAAAGCTCACCTGTGCTGGGAGAATTAGCAATTATTTCAAGTGGAAGAGAATTTTAAGGCAGTGCCTGAGTTTTTGGCTTCGGGCAATGCACACATTCTTGTAATCCCGACCATGAAGTCACTAGACACTGTCCCCTCATGTGACTGGATTCGGGAAATAAAGTTCATGCTCCTGCGAGTCACTTATCACAAATCTCAGTAGGTCTGGTCTGCAAAAAAAATCTCTGTACCTGCAATCTCAGAGCTTGGATCTACACATTTGGGTGTGCGTGGCTCAAAATAACAGCCAAGACGTTCCATGGGGCTGGCGAGGGGGGTGGGTCTCAGAGCCCAAGCAGGAATGTCTACCCTGCCACTCTTAGCCCCGTAGCACGAGCCTGAGTCTGTCGACCCAGGCTCTACGACTTGCTGCTGCGGTTGTTGGGGTTTTTTTGCACTGTAGATGGTACTTATACTTGGGAATCTTTCCCTGCTGTTGCTGCCTGGGCCACTTACTGTGGCTCTGATGCTGCAAGGTGATCCATGTAGGTCAGGGGTGGCCAACTTGAGCCTGAGAAGGAGCCATAATTTACCAATGTACATTGCCAAAGAGCCACAGTAATATATCAGCAGTGCCCCCATCAGCTCCCGCTCCCAGTGTCTCCCACCCACCGGCACCCCCGCCAATCAGCGCCTCCCTCTCCGCACCTCCTGATCAGCTGTTTCATGGCATGCAGGAGTCTCTTTGGTGGGGAAAGGGGAGGAGCGAGGGCATGGCAGGCTCAGGGGAGGGGGCAGGAAGGGTTGGAGTGGGGGCAAAGCCTGTGGCAGAGCCAGGGGTTAAGCAGTGAGCACCCCCGGCACATTGGAAAGTTGGCGCCTGTAGCTCCAGTCCCAGAGTCGGTGCCTATACAAGGAGCTGCATATTAACTTCTGAAGAGCCGCATGTGGCTCTGGAGCCATAGGTTGGCCACCCCTGATGTAGGTGGACTCTTAACACCTTGCAGAGTCCTAATGAAGCCAAAGGGGGCTGACGAATGCACAAGCAACTGTCTGTGTAGATCACATTGCAGGATCAGGGCCTATTTCTATGAGTGTACATATGTACACAGGAATACTCTACATTTTATCCTATATAACTACAGTATATAAAGAGGTTATTGGTTTTTATTGTGTATTTATTATTAATTATTAATTATTATTATTATTATTATTATTAGTAGTAGTAGTAGTAGTAGTAGTAGTATAGCAATGGCTTGTAGGAGCCCCAATCACGGTGCAGAACCCCTCTGTGGTAGATGCTGTACAAACACAGAACAAAAAGACAGTTCCTGCCCCAAAGACAGAGAAGACCCCACCCAGTAATTCTCAGGTGAGTAGTGCTTACTCATACACGTAGGCCCATTGACTCCATTAGGAATTGCGGGTCTTTCAGCAATTCCCAGCATCAGGACTTTAATGTGTCAAAGCCAAAATGTTACTAGGATGATCTCTATGAATACATTATAAGCAAACAGGACCAGCTTATCAGGGGAGCTTTGCACATTCCGATCATATAGACAAGGCAGACTGATAAAGGTGTCACAATTCATTAAGCAGTTATGAATTTGTCACTAGAGGAACATGTCTTAATTGTGCTCCGCAATAGCCAAGGCACAAAAAAGCCACAAGTATGCAACATGTGCTCGTACACGTTAACTGAGCGACATCTAAGCGCTGTAAGATGTTCCAGACTGGGTAGTTACGGTGCACACGCCAAGGGTAGTCTCCATCTCCCTCAGGTAACACAGCCAGGGCCGGCTCCAGGCACCAGCTTGTCAAGCAGGTGCTTGGGGCGGCCACTGCGGAGAGGGGCGGCACGTCCAGCTATTCAGCGGCAATTCGGCGGACGGTCCCTCACTCTGGCTCAGAGCAAAGGACCTTCTGCCGCAGATCGCGATCGCGGTCTTTTTTTTTTTTTTTTTGGTTCTGCTTGGGGCGGCCAATACCCTGGAGCCGGCCCTGAACACAGCACTTCCATCTGTACTCCCAAGTCTTCTGGGTTTTGGACAGTTCACAGTGGGGTTAATCCACGATTTAAAGGCAGCCTTTAGTTTTCATTAGCTCACACACACACACACACACACACATCTGTCCTCTTTGGTCTCCACAAGTGCGATGTTATCAGTCAGCTGAGAGGCTTGTTTTTACTACAGCCATTTTATCATCTCTGTCATTCCTCAAAGCTAAGGGGATCTCAATCCCCTGGCTCAAAGCACCACGGCCAACTAGCTGGGCTTTCAGGAAATCAGCAATGCAATTATGATGCTAGCCCTATTGTATTAAAAAAAAATCAAATGATAGCCAGTGTCTCCAGAGCCATTGAGGCATGTTGTTAAAACCACCAAAAACACCTTCACTTTTCCATCTTCTAAGTGTCACTTTGTCATGCACGGTCAGAGAGTGAAGCCTCTCTTTCCTGAAGCTAAGAGCACAGGGAGGCTCCAAGAAACAACTTTGGATGCCTTCCTTAACAAACACTTGCATGTCTGACACTTTCGCAGTGACCTGCTCCCTCTGTTCCCCACCTCCACCACTGCCGCACATTGAAAATAGGAAAGTAACAATGCCTTCTCAAACGTCCCATCTTCGCCATCTGATTTACCCAGGGAGGATTATATGTGTGTTATCACATAGCCCTCACTAGTACCGATTACTGCAATATCATCATCTGATAGCGTATGCTAATGCTGTTTACTAGTGTGCATCATATAACCCCCAGGAGTGCTAATTAACTTCTATACATCACAGCTAGCGCTGGTTACTACACTGCATTATCATATAGCATCTAAGCCTATTGATTCATGCTATACATCATCATACAGCTCCAGCTAATACGGATTACTAGACATCCTATAGACCCCACTAGTACTGATTACTATCCTGCATTCTCACAGTCTCTGACAAGTACTGATTACTAGGAATTATCCTATAGATGCCACTAGCATTGATTACTACCGTGCATTATCATGAAGTCTGACTAGTATTGATTACTACACATTATCCTATAGCTCCTACTAGCACTGATTATCATCATATGTTAACATATAGTCTTGGACTCGTACTAATTACTATACATCATCAAATAGGTCTCACTACTACTGACTTCTACACATTATCACATAGCCCCCACTGGTACTTATTACTAATAGTTAAAAAATTATACAATGGGACCATCTTCTCTGGGGCATTTACTCAGTACAAAGAAATCATAGCTTACCCTTTCCACACTGCGTCTTCTCAGTGATCCATATGGTATTTTGAACAAAAGTCTTCGGGTCCTACCAGGAGTCACAGCTGTCTGCACTACCATAGTGCAGAGCTCTGTGTGTGTGTGTGTGTGTGTGTGTGTGTGTGTTCGTTCAGAGCAGAGAGAAGCTTCCTTTGAAATAACTTACAGCCTCCTGCAGATTTCCCAAATATCAAATAGCTGAGTGGGTTTTTAGTTTAGACCCATGTGAGTCAAGATGTGGCTTGTTTTGAAGGAAGGAAAAAAAAATCCCTGCAACCCTAAGAACATGTTTTAAGCAGCATATCTTTAGCTTCCTTCTGTTTCTCTCCGTGTAGTTTGCTCAGCTGGATCGCTGTGCCACAGAGGTGGAAGAATTAAGCTTCTGGGGAGAATGTTCCAAAAATGTCAACCTCGGTTCTTGTAGCTACAGATGGTAACCAGGTCAGTTGTCTAATCAAAGCTCTATCAGACTTATTATACATTTCGTCACGTGATGGCAGACCCCTCTGGTTTGCTGTACAGTAGATCACATGTTCACCTTAAAAAGAATATCTGGTGTATCACCATCTGGTGCAGAGATTAATGTTAAATCCTACATTCAGATATTACTCTCTTCTAGACATAGGGGAGCACATACACAGAGTAATTGGACTTTAAAGGATTCTCCAGGCTGCTCAGTTAATACCCCCCCCCACCAGACTGTATATTATATCTAGCACACTATATATTATGGGTATGCACACCGTGCACATTTATGCACACACACACAACTATACACACACGCTATAATTATATATGCACACATATACCAGTGGAAACATATAAAGTTATATGCCTATTTTAAAAAGTGTCTGCTACTTTCACCAATACTAAAACAATAAGTTAACTGGACGTTACTGTAACACATTCTGTACAGAATCGGAGTCTTAATGTGTACTTCTACTTTCTCCTGGAATCCAACTGTACAGTAGAAGACAATCACATTTTCTTTTACAGAAGATAAAAGAGGTTTGGTCATTACCTGTTCTGTTTCTTCCCTCTGGGGCACCTGGTATTGGCCACGGTCGGAAGACAGGATACTGGGCTAGATGGACCTTTGGTGTGACCCAGTACGGCCGTTCTTATGTTGAAACAATATCCATTGTTTTACTGGTACAGAGGCCATTTGAGCTTTGGCAAATTTCTTTCAATTTCTGCAAACACCATGAAATGTCCCAAAGCAAATATATGTGATTTAACCACTGTTTTTAAGGTCTATTCTGTATTTTCATGTTCTGTTACAGGTACTGCGCTGCATCTGAGTTAACCTGTGCAAATTGAGAGTCACTTCATCAACTCCATGCTGTTTTTCTGATTTCACCTGGTCTAACAGAGCAGAATTTGACTCACTGTTCTTTCCTTAAGATCAGTCCAGTTGTGGCCAGATCTCTGATAAGCTTCAGAGATTAATCTCTTCTCCTATGGATAGTGCTCAATTGACTGTCTTACTTCTTTTTTGGGGGGTCTAAAAGCCCCAAAGAAGGTATTGGGAATGTGGCCTTCAGCACACCATTTATAACAAAGAGAAAAGAATGTATCTGTCCAGCATATGTGCATGCATTAAAAGGCAGTAAAAAAAGAAAAAGCAGCAGCTTAATGTGGGAAATTCCAAATATTAAAAACAATCGGCCTTTGTTCCTAATTAGTTCCATATGTGTGTTGCCAAAATAGAGCGAGAGAGACAGGAAAAGATGGAAATGTCTTAAGCATGGCTGACTGATATAGATTCTTTCTAGAGACTAGGGATAGGGTTACAGGTTTTGACTCAACTTTTTTTTAAGAATTTTTTTCATGATGATCAAAAATCTCTCTCCCATGCTAGCCACCTCCCAGTTTGAACCCAACATTAAAGGCAGATGCTGTTCTTGTTGGCACCAAAAACTGGGGAGTCACTCCATTGACATCAATAGAATTTCTTCGGATTTACACCCGTGTAATAAGACTGGCCATCTGGCCCACTGGAAGTTTTGTCTGACTAAGGATGAGTCATGTCTGAGCGAGAACCTTAGGCTTTAGACCATAAAATGTCCAGCCGGGCTAGCAGAGATCTCTCCAGTAATCTAATTGAAGGACCTGGGTTCTCAGGGTTCCTGCCTACATCATTCCCATTATGCCTTACCCAATTTCTTCTAACATTTCTGAAGTGAGGGTGTAATGATATCTCTGGATGAGTCATTTAAAATGATTGGACACAAGACCTACTCTAAAAGCAAGAGTCTTTATGACCTAAGCTGGAGGACCAGTTCCATTAGCTCAGCAGACGCAGACTCAGACTCTCAATGTGGTCTAGCCACTAGGGTCAAAGAGTCCCACTCAGGACCGGCCTTATGGGTGGGCAGCCATCCAGGGCGCCATGGTCAGGAGGCAAGGAGTGGGGCGGGCCAGGAATTGAGGCCATGGAAGGGAGCTTGGGGCAATGGGGACAGGGAGGTAGCAGGAACCAGGGGCAGTGGCAGGGATAGAGGACACCCACTACCCTGTAAGCTACTGCAGGGCTGGCACAAGCAGGCACCCTGTATGCCCTATGACCATAATGGGCCTGATTCTTCTCTCACTTACAATGCTGCGAATCAGGAGCAGTTCCACTGGTGTCAATGGAGTTATGTTAAATGGGAGGAGACTCTGGCTAGCTGCCTTAATTCTCTTAATTTCTCTCTTCTCCTTTTCCCGCCGCCCCTCCCTTCCCCATGTCCACGTTCACGTTGCACTGTCGAACCCACAACAGCAAAGTGGCTTTGAAATTGGGAAAAACGGGTTCTTTCCTACCAAGGGTCAGATCCCCAACCATGGAACAGCCCAGAGCCGATGGCCAGGTGGGAGGAGAACTCCATGGGCTCCTCCCCCTCACAGGGGGCGGGGGGTTGTAGCCAAAACGTTGCGGATTTAGGAGAATTTGCCATAGATGCAGCGCCCTCAGCATGCCCCATCCCATCTACCTCCCTGGCAGTGGGGTTTTGTGAGCGTATGCATGCTGCATAAGAGACTCTGTTGACAAACGAAGGCGCTCTCAGTAGGTTTGGTGAGATGGAACTGTGTGTGTCTCCTCAACCCACCCACTTCTTCCCCATTGGTTGGCGAATGGTTGACTAGCAGCAGCGGACACCTCCATAAGATGAGATCCCCATTCAGAAGCTCCCTCTGACCCCCAGATCCATGGGTCAGTCTGATACCTCGTCCTGCACATGGGTAAAGTTGTTCTGACTGTTAAAAACCTTTTTCTTCATGTCCAGCCTAAAGCTTAGAGAGAAACCCCCTGGTAAAACAGAGTGGGACAATCAAATCAAATCAAATCAAATCAAATCCAACAGAGCATCTTGACCTGGCTCACCACAAGACCCACAACAGAGACACGAGGTATTTACTAACTGCTGAAAGGGGAAACTGTTTAATCAGATGGAGGCTCTCCAGCGCTAATTACAGGCTGCCAGGAACAGTGGTTTGTGGTAATGACGTATCACAGAGAATTACATTCCAATCTATTACTATATCAGACTTGACATCTTTTTATCCTTAATGAAAAGGGGAAAGAAAATAATTTACTGATGCAAAACATATGGGTGTTTGTTACATCTGGAACCTGAGAGTCACATTTCAGGTCAATAAATGCCCAGTGGAGATTAGGAAATGGAAAGTAGCAACGGCACTGGCATAAACTGAAACGTAATGTGCTGTGTTGGTGTGCTGTCAGTAACAGCTCCATTTGGTAAAACTATCCAGAGTAAAACAATTAAAAAGCCTGATTTTCAGAAGTGTTACATACATGATGGGGTGTTTACCCCAGGTGGGTTATGAAAGGGTTAATACAGGCTTGAAATTGTAAAGAGGCCTGTCACAAGGCCAGTACACCCCGTCCTCCTGGGGGTGGGGCAAGGGTGGGATAGGCCCGCAGTTAAAGCCAATAGGACTCCCCTGGACGTCAGGGAAGTGTGGCCCACTGGCCAAGTCAACAGGACAGTTTCAGGGAAGCGTGGCCCACTGGCCAGAGTCAATAGGACTCCCCTGGACTGCAGAGAAATGCGGGCCAATGGCCAGGGTCAGTAGGGGTCCCCCTGGCTGTGGGGAAGCGCAACCTAATGGCCAGAGTCAGTGAGAGGTGGTTCAGTGGGCCACCCCCCAAAGGGGGACCCGGGCCCTCCCTGCTCCACCGGGTCCCAGCCAAGGGCCCTGGTTGTGGCAAATGGGTTCACCACTAAGTCGGCAGGCAATCCGCCTGCAACATGCCGACTGCTGCTGGGGCACTGGCTAGTCCCTCCCTGGGCTATTTCCTATCATGACTTAAGTTCTGCAGTTGAAGTTGGGGTGTCTTTGGAGTCTCTGGGCTCCTCAGGAGTTGACCATAATCTCCCTGGCGGGTCCGCAAGTACCTGGGCCCCTGCTTGAGCCTCAGCGTCTCCTGCTCCTGTGGTCTGGGATCCTGACTGCTCCTCGGCTAGAGATGTGTCCTTCCTCCTGACTGAGCTAGGCTGCTCCCTTTTATACTGCAGCAGCAGTTGGCGCATGCCCAGCAGAGTCAGGGGGGCGTGGCTTCTGCTGCTAAGAGTGCCGCTTTATCCCCTTCCGCTCCAGTGGGGCCAGTACACCCCATCACAAGGACTCTTAGCCCAGGAGCAAAATCAGTAAGGGTCTTATTGCAAATCAAACTTCTAACTTGGGCTTGTCAGGGGAAAGAAAGTAACTCTCATGCACTTAGCTTTGCCAGTCTTTTATAAGGGGACCATATAATGGCTGCTCTAATGTGGGTGTGATGGAGGGGAAAGGAGCCCCTTTGCCATTTAAATCTCCTGTACAGGAGGCAGCCATGATTTGACTGTCGGGATTGCATGAGTGTAGAGGAGGGGCCTCTGGCTGTGCTGAGCCACCAGAAGGAGGCATTGCTGGGTGGAGTCAGTGCCCTGGCCCCACCCATCTTGGGGAGAACATGTCACATGTCGCATGTTTTTGCGGAGGTGTCTAAACTCCCCATAGCACATTCAGTGATATTATGCCTGCTCCTACTCTGGGTAAACACGACGCTACTGGCTGTGCACAGCCTGCTTGCCCTATGTGGCTCAGCTCTAGGAGCCCGATATCAACTTTCCATAGGCAAACAAGTACTGGGGAATTAGCTTTCATTGATTTGCATGCTAAGGGAAGAAATTCAGCATGAGAGAATTCTGAAGGCTCCCTTTCCATTTACCTTTCCATCCGACTTGAAAAGCCGTGCAATACAATGGACCTGCCTGACCTGTACTAGTATGCAGAGAAAATTCTCCCTTCACCATCCATTTACCCCACCCCTCGCTCGGCTAACCTTGGCAGTCCGTGTCCTTTGCTATTAAACTAAACAGCAAGTTAGGACGTACAAACACACCGGCTGTAACAGCCTGGTTAAGTGGCTGCTGGTCAGTGTTAACATGAAGCCCAGTATAGGACATGAATGAAGGCTTTTACTCTCTTAACCATACAGCTTGTGTAGTGTATCCACGGTGCACATTGATTGCTGTTACTGATGATTTACATTTCTAATGGCAGCTCCACATTGCACAACACAGAATTAACTTTTA